ATCACATGAATAATCATAGAGACAACTGAAAAACAAATTCTATTAGGATTGGTAATACAGAATACACACCCAGACACACACTGAGAAATACAACATTATAACGAGAGGCAAGTATAACGAAGGCACATCTGAAAAAATGCAAAACGAAATGCAAAAACTTTTACTAAAAATACGAAATAAATGTACCATATTGTTACACAAAAGAATTGTTTTCCGAATGTGGAATAGATTTGCTTCAGTACATTAAACAACCCAAGGCATTTTGTGACAAAGCTTTTACGAGTACATACATGCGAAACTGTTTTAGTCAATAAGAGTTGTCGTTGTGAGTGAGTGATTGTGAGTGAGTTTAGTTTTACGCCGCAATCAGCAATATTCCAGCTATATGGAAATAATCGAGTCTGGACCAGACAATCCAGTGATCAACAACATGAGCATCGATCTGCGCAATTGGGAACCGATGACATGTGTCAACCAAGTCAGCGAGCCTGACCACCCGATCCCGTTAGTGGCCTCTTACGACAAGCATAGTCGCCTTTTGTGGCAAGCATGGGTTGCTGAAGACCTATTCTACCCCGGATCTTCACGGGTATGTCGTTGTGAACCCTGACACATCAGTATTACCACCTATACAAAAATCTTTCTTTGTGAGGCATTTTAGAAGTTGTAAAGATGAAGGAAAACCAAGTTCTATGGATAGTCAACTTCTTTACTGCAATGAGTGCGACGTTTCGGCGTAGGTACTAACACCGTTATCAAGCAAGTGATGACATCGCTTAAATTTATTCTTGTTTTTAGTCGTTCTTTTGTCAGGTTTTGAAAACACTTGAATGGATATTTTGGTCCAAACATTCACTTTTGGTGCGGGATATACATTTAACCAATATACTTTCAAAATGTATGTCTATGTAAGACGAATGCATGTCCTTCAATTTGTAATTGCTTTGGTTGATATATACAAACTATTTTCATGAAATACTCTTTTAGTGTAATTTTTCACGCGTTTCCATGGAAACATGCTGGTTTCCAAATACATTCCTATTTTATGGGACCACAATCTTACTTTTCTTAATATACTAGTATTCCATCAGTGAAATATAGGCTGTGCTTTGTTATACCTCCTGTTGGGGTTCAACTCCCTGATAAGTCAGAAACCACGTGCTCTATTATATTATAATTACTTGTACAATGGGGGCGGTGGGGTAGCCTAGTGTTTAAAGCGATCGCTCGTCACGCCGAAGCCGTGGGTTCGATTCCCCACATGGGTACAATGTGTGAAGCCCATTTCTGGTGACATTGCTGGAATATTGCTAAAAGCGGCGTAAAACTAAACCACTCACTCACTCACTTGTACAATGTCCACAGACACAGCGTATACATTGTGACTTGAGTATGAAACAATACTGGCCACAGTTCAAACTCCATAAAACAACATAGAACAATTATTGAGATCCAATTGAAGAACCAAATTTCTGACTTAATGCCATCGGTATCCTTACCAAAATGTGAGCCCCTCAATCCATATCAGAATGTGCATCGGTTGGTTGGTTGGGGTTTGTTGTTTAACGCCGCACTCAGCAATATTCCAGCTATATGGCAGTGATCAACATCATGAGCATCGATCTACACAACTGGGATACGATTACATGTGTCAACCAAGTCAGCGAGCCTGACCACCCGATCCCGTTAGTCGCCTCTTACAACAAGTATGGGTTGCTGAAGATCAATTCAAACCCGGATCTTCAGGGGTCTCACGTTTGAAGGTGAACACTAGCAACTGCATTACAAATTACAGATGATAACAAGGATGTATTGGTATTTTTTTTTATTACTGTGAATATTTTTACATACGATGAAGATAACTAGATCTACCATTTCTGATATGCATGCAACAGTATGGACGATCATGACATTTACATCAAACATGACATCCGACATTCTCGTTAATCCAACATATTTCTCTGCAAGTGTCGGATTAACGAGAGTTGACTGTATTCATAACGGTTGACACCGGTGGGGGAAGTTAGGCTCAATTATAGTGAACACCTTCAGAGGTACAGATAAGCTGCGTATCTGCGAAAATTACGCAAATATTTATGTGAAAACTCAAGACTATTGCGTATGAGTACGCTTGATTTTTGGTATATACTCAATAAATGTGATCTCACATGCGTACACACAAACATGTCAACTCTTAGCTTGCGTACCGGTGGATAGATAAAATAACTGAGGTATATTGAGAGGTTCTATTTCAGGACATGAACTTGACAACTTGCAGTCTTTTTATCGTTTCTCATATTACAGATTAAATATAAATAACAAACACTAACATTTAAACTTTATTATATTTTTAAAATTAATGGAAAATGGCAAAATACCCCAATGAGTTTGAGTGAGGAGAGTACAATTTATTTGGTTACTCAATTACTCAAAGGAAAGTTAGGATACTCAATTGAGATGAGCGCAAGCGAGTACATAACTCAATGACCCAAAAAGTTATCTGTAGCTCTGTCACCTTGTGACATCACTGTTGGACTGGGCAGTGATTCACATGCTTATTATATTAGTCAGAATTGTACAATTGACTCTACCGTTGGTAGACAACCATTTCATACTGAAAGCGGTTTTGTCGCTTTTCAGTGTTTTTTTAGATTAAGTTATTTAAATAAATAAAGTAACCTGGCTGTGTACACTTTTTGTTGATGCTGTCCACCAGTAGATGGAAGGAAGTCAGGAAATAACTATTAACCGTTTTAAGCAAGGAGAAGACAATATCAAACTTGCTATTTTTTGTTAGACTGAAACATTTTTTGTGGAATGTTCTAAAACCACATTGGTCTTGTCAGTTTTCATCGTTTAATTTATAAATACACTTAAGATGAAAATCTTATAAGGAATGGGTTGCATTGCTTGCCAAATATACATCTTTACAAAAGAATATATCTGAGAGGTTCGACTTGTTTACTGCATGAAGAGATGAGCAGTGCTGTATCTTCTGTATATATTTTATTGACGCGGGAGAATCAGAGTTATCGTTCTTGCCTGACGACTGCTCCTGTTCATTTCATATTGACCCCTCCAGGTTGTCCATATTCTGTCTGTTGCATTATAACGGAGTGGTGGGTTAAAGCCTGATGTTGACTGCAACCTATTTACTGGAATATCTCCAAAAGTGGTGCCAAACCATATTCATTGACTCGCTCACTCTAATGACACGAGACCGCTTCCGTGGTGTAGTGGTTAGAGCGGAAGGTCGCGGGTTCGATCCCCGACCGCGTCATACCAAAAGACGTTAAAATATGGTACTTGTTGGTCCTTGCCTGGCGCTCGGCATTAATGGGTACAACAAGGACTTGTCGGCTCGGAGTCAGTATAATGTGTCTGATTGGGGTATTCATGCTCCACTGCGGCATGGTATCTCAGTGGGCTAGCACTATAAAACCAGCTTAAGTCTGGGCTAGTACAAGCAGCCGCACATACACATACACACGCATGCACGTCGTCATATGAGCGAAATATTCTCAAGCACGACGTTAAACCCAAATTCACCTCACCTCACCTCACCTCATAGTGACACGAGCCGGTCAAGAATTTTCTCAGAATGAACGAAGCACTCCGAAAATCAATCAGATTCCAGTATACCCCCAAGGAATATTGATCGAGGAAATCTCAATGATGAAAATTGAACACCACATCACCCATTGTCCTCTCTGCCATATGACGACAGACAATCCAGTGATCAACAGAATGGTCATCGATCTAAATGATTTGGATACAATGGCATGTCTCAACTAAGTCATCTAGTCTGATCACCCGATACTATTGTATGATATCTTCTGAAATAGGCGTGATGACGTTCACTTAGAAAGACGAAGCTGGCAAGGAGACATACAGAAAGAAACGCATAGGAGATAATATTGATATAAATGCAATAGTTTGCAATATGTGTTGGTCACATATTCGTGTGGTGGTGTGATGTGGTGTGCTGTGGTGTCGCATCGCATGACGTTCCGTGACATGGCGTGGCGTGGCGTGGCATGGCATGGTGCAGTGAACAAACGCAACCATTTTAATTTTTTTGTACATTTATACAGACATTTATTTTCAGACGGAAATGTCATGGAAAGGAAATTTAAGGCAGATGTTCAGTGACCAGAAATATGAAAGGTCAAACGTCTGTCAACATTCTGTCCGACGTTTGTCGAATATTCGGAAGATTTGAATACGAGCTCAAAAGCTCTCGAAGCAGCCTTCAGTACGTCATTTCAACGTCCACCAGAACGCCATATCTCGTTTATTGCATCGTCATACCCGCCTCCACTTAACCTGAGATCGTCGGAGAGTTGGAGTGTGTGAGTGAGTTTAGTTTTACGCGGCACCCAGCAATATTCCAGCTATATGACGACGGTCTGATAAAATCGAGTCTGGACCAAATAATCCAGTGATCAACAGCATCGATCTACGCAACTGGGATACGATGACATGTGCCATCTGCGTTTCATCTGCGTCATCGACATATTACTGGCACCGAGACTACAGGACACGTGTCTGGTTTACAGAAGCGTATTGAACCAAACAATCACGAATCGCCTTCGAGAGGTGGAAATTATATGCATTTGTCCCTGTATAGAGACGTGTTCATCTGCGACAACGTATGCACTTTAACGAACTTGGAACCTGACAATGTGAGCGAGTTGGGTTTTACGCCGTATTTAGCAATATTCCAGCAACACAACGGTTGGGGACACCAGAAATGGGTTTCACACATTGTACCCAAGTTCGGAATCGAACCCGGGTCTTCGGCGTGACGAGCAAAGGCTTTAACCACAAGGCTACCCCCCCCCCTTTCGTGGGGGATCTTTCGTGCCATATTAAGTCATGTATGAAATCAGGCCAGCGTCGCTCTGAAATCTGGCTTACAGTCATATTTAATACATCATAAAAATATATTTTTTTGTCTGACTGCCCTGAATCAATCAAATTAAGTCAAACGTTATGTATTAAAAATCTTTGTTTATTTTTTTAAAAAGCAACATAATTCTCATTTTATATAACAGAAACAAGTTTCGTGAAAGTCTATAAAAAAAACACGTGTTCACATAGGTTTAGTCAGTATCTACTAAACAATTCAACTACTCACCTGTCAATACGGTCATTATACAGAATTGCAGCATACAATTTTTCGATATCAGCAATTCTTTTCAAGACATCATCAATATGCTTCATTAGATCTATTGATTTCACTGATATCTATGATTATCTCTATTCGAGACATCTTAAATTCATACAGGATATCATCAGTTCAAGATATCTCTAAATTAATTCAAGATATCTTTAAAACAATTGAAGAGTACAGTAATTCAGAAATAAATGTGGAAACGGCTTGCACTAATGTCTGTGATGTCTGTGATATCTGTGATATCTTCCTCTGTACCAAGGGTTCCGGAGACATCTTCTGCCGTGTGGATAGTATACGTCATTAGGACAATGACTCAAACACTCGCCGTCCAGTTCGAAATCCTTGCACGTCTGGGAGAAACAGAAGGAAGACGAAATTTAGGTGCTGATCAATTTCAATGCACAATAAACCTTCATTTTTAAAATTCTAATTCACTGGTTGGTTCACTAGATTCCGGAAACAAACTGCTTTATAACGGTTTTGTGGCTCCTTCGAGAAACTAAATTACTTTATATTGGATCTCTGACAGTTTCAGGGCAACACAACACTCATACTGGTTCTGTGACAGCTTTGGGTAACCGTTTCTCTGTTCTGGTTCTGTGACAGCTTTGGGTAACCGTTTCTCTGTTCTGGTTCTGTGACAGCTTTGGGTAACCGTTTCTCTGTTCTGGTTCTGTGACTGTTTCTCGAAACGTGTTACTTTGTAGTAGCTCTGTCATGATTCCGATAAAGAACTTTACACTGGTTCTGTGCCTGTTTCCGAGTAACGTGTTACTGGATCGGTCACAGATTCCGAGACACGTGAAGTTTCGGGTTAGAATTGGTCTTAAACAGCCCACGCTTGTTGTAAGATGCGACTAACGGGATCGGGTGGTCAGGCTCGCTGACTTGGTTGACATATGTCATCGTATCCCTATTGCGTTGATCGATGCTCATGATGTTGATTGCCCGGTCCAGATTCGATTAGTATTTACAGACAACCGCTTTATAGCTGGAATATTGCTGAGTGTGGCGTAATACACAAACAAAGCAAAACCCAGATTCTGAGAAATACATTACTATATATCGGTTTTTAGACTGCTTCGCGAAACGTTTAACTACTCTGCAGCGTAAAACTAAATTCACGCACTCAAAAGACATGATATTACTTCAGATTGACTCTGACCATTTCTGACAAACGCATTTTATCTTGGTTCTATGACAATGAAAATGCCTCTACATATTGGTTCTGTGACAATGAAAATACCTCTACATATTGGTTCTGTGACAATGAAAATGCCTCTATATATTGGTTCTGTGACAATGAAAATGCCTCTACATATTGGTTCTGTGACAATGAAAATACCTCTACATATTGGTTCTGTGACAATGAAAATGCCTCTATATATTGGTTCTGTGACAATGAAAATGCCTCTATATATTGGTTCTGTGACAATGAAAATGCCTCTACATATTGGTTCTGTGACAATGAAAATGAAAATGCCTCTACATATTGGTTCTATATATTGGTTCTGTGACAATGAAAATGCCTCTACATATTGGTTCTGTGACAATGAAAATGCCTCTATATATTGGTTCTGTGACAATGAAAATGCCTCTATATATTGGTTCTGTGACAATGAAAATGCCTCTATATATTGGTTCTGTGACAATGAAAATGCCTCTATATATTGGTTCTGTGACAATGAAAATGCCTGTATATATTGGTTCTGTGACAATGAAAATGCCTGTATATATTGGTTCTGTGACAATGAAAATGCCTCTATATATTGGTTCTGTGACAATGAAAATGCCTCTATATATTGGTTCTGTGACAATGAAAATGCCTCTATATATTGGTTCTGTGACAATGAAAATGCCTCTATATATTGGTTCTGTGACAATGAAAATGCCTCTATATATTGGTTCTGTGACAATGAAAATGCCTCTATATATTGGTTCTGTGACAATGAAAATGCCTCTATATATTGGTTCTGTGACAATGAAAATGCCTCTATATATTGGTTCTGTGACAATGAAAATGCCTCTATATATTGGTTCTGTGACAATGAAAATGCCTCTATATATTGGTTCTGTGACAATGAAAATGCCTCTATATATTGGTTCTGTGACAATGAAAATGCCTCTATATATTGGTTCTGTGACAATGAAAATGCCTCTATATATTGGTTCTATATATTGGTTGACAATGAAAATGCCTCTATATATTGGTTCTGTGACAATGAAAATGCCTCTATATATTGGTTCTGTGACAATGAAAATGCCTCTATATATTGGTTCTGTGACAATGAAAATGCCTCTATATATTGGTTCTGTGACAATGAAAATGCCTCTATATATTGGTTCTGTGACAATGAAAATGCCTCTATATATTGGTTCTGTGACAATGAAAATGCCTCTATATATTGGTTCTGTGACAATGAAAATGCCTCTATATATTGGTTCTGTGACAATGAAAATGCCTCTATATATTGGTTCTGTGACAATGAAAATGCCTCTATATATTGGTTCTGTGACAATGAAAATGCCTCTATATATTGGTTCTGTGACAATGAAAATGCCTCTATATATTGGTTCTGTGACAATGAAAATGCCTCTATATATTGGTTCAATGAAAATGACAATGAAAATGCCTCTATATATTGGTTCTGTGACAATGAAAATGACAATGAAAATGCCTCTATATATTGGTTCTGTGACAATGAAAATGCCTCTATATATTGGTTCTGTGACAATGAAAATGCCTCTATATATTGGTTCTGTGACAATGAAAATGCCTCTATATATTGGTTCTGTGACAATGAAAATGCCTCTATATATTGGTTCTGTGACAATGAAAATGCCTCTATATATTGGTTCTGTGACAATGAAAATGCCTCTATATATATTGGTTCTGTGACAATGAAAATGCCTCTATATATTGGTTCTGTGACAATGAAAATGCCTCTATATATTGGTTCTGTGACAATGAAAATGCCTCTATATATTGGTTCTGTGACAATGAAAATGCCTCTATATATTGGTTCTGTGACAATGAAAATGCCTCTATATATTGGTTCTGTGACAATGAAAATGCCTCTATATACATTGGTTCTGTGACAATGAAAATGCCTCTATATATTGGTTCTGTGACAATGAAAATGCCTCTATATATTGGTTCTGTGACAATGAAAATGCCTCTATATATTGGTTCTGTGACAATGAAAATGCCTCTATATATTGGTTCTGTGACAATGATATATTGGTTCTGTGAATGAAAATGCCTCTATATATTGGTTCTGTGACAATGAAAATGCCTCTATATATTGGTTCTGTGACAATGAAAATGCCTCTATATATTGGTTCTGTGACAATGAAAATGCCTCTATATATTGGTTCTGTGACAATGAAAATGCCTCTATATATTGGTTCTGTGACAATGAAAATGCCTCTATATATTGGTTCTGTGACAATGAAAATGCCTCTATATATTGGTTCTGTGACAATGAAAATGCCTCTATATATTGGTTCTGTGACAATGAAAAAAATGCCTCTATATATTGGTTCTGTGACAATGAAAATGCCTCTATATATTGGTTCTGTGACAATGAAAATGCCCTCTATATATTGGTTCTGTGACAATGAAAATGCCTCTATATATTGGTTCTGTGACAATGAAAATGCCTCTATATATTGGTTCTGTGACAATGAAAATGCCTCTATATATTGGTTCTGTGACAATGAAAATGCCTCTATATATTGGTTCTGTGACAATGAAAATGCCTCTGAAAACATATATTGGTTCTGTGACAATGAAAATGCCTCTATATATTGGTTCTGTGACAATGAAAATGCCTCTATATATTGGTTCTGTGACAATGAAAATGCCTCTGTGACAATATATATTGGTTCTGTGACAATGAAAATGCCTCTATATATTGGTTCTGTGACAATGAAAATGCCTCTATATATTGGTTCTGTGACAATGAAAATGCCTCTATATATTGGTTCTGTGACAATGAAAATGCCTCTATATATTGGTTCTGTGACAATGAAAATGCCTCTATATATTGGTTCTGTGACAATGAAAATGCCTCTATATATTGGTTCTGTGACAATGAAAATGCCTCTATATATTGGTTCTGTGACAATGAAAATGCCTCTATATATTGGTTCTGTGACAATGAAAATGCCTCTATATATTGGTTCTGTGACAATGAAAATGCCTCTATATATTGGTTCTGTGACAATGAAAATGCCTCTATATATTGGTTCTGTGACAATGAAAATGCCTCTATATATTGGTTCTGTGACAATGAAAATGCCTCTATATATTGGTTCTGTGACAATGAAAATGCCTCTATATATTGGTTCTGTGACAATGAAAAAAATGCCTCAATGAAAATATATTGGTTCTGTGACAATGAAAATGCCTCTATATATACAATGGTCTATATATTGGTGACAATGAAAATGCCTGTATATATTGGTTCTGTGACAATGACAATGAAAATGCCTCTATATATTGGTTCTGTGACAATGAAAATGCCTGTATATATTGGTTCTGTGACAATGAAAATGCCTCTATATATTGGTTCTGTGACAATGAAAATGCCTCTATACATTGGTTCTGTGACAATGAAAATGCCTCTATAGACTAGTTCTGTGACCAGCAATATCCCCAGGGTCTTACCTCACACTGGGTGGGAGATGGTCCCCAGCACCCCCCGGCGCACTGATGGTGACAGCATCCAGCTCCGTACCAGTAGCATCTCCGAGGGCAGTGGGAGGGACACACATCTACAAACACAACAATATCGTGAACGTCAAACTATCAGATACTGTGATTCTTCGTGTTACAAGATCTATGACCGATCCTCCGAGAATTCTGTAGGATCGTGGTTTGAACGTTACCTTGCATTTATGTCCACTGAATTTTCAAATCTTAATAAATGTATTTTTTTGGTCACGAGAGGACAGGTGTGCGCATGCGTGTTTATATGAATGCGTGTTTGTGCATGTATATGTGCATGTGTGTGTCCGTGAATGCGTATGTGTGTCCATGTGTGTGTTGAGGGTTTGCAAAGTATTAAATGCACTATTGTATATTCACTATTCATACACGTCAACTATGTCAAGTATGTTTGTAAGTACAAAAGTCTGAAATACATATATCGCTGAATACAAAACGCAATATCATGATAATGATATTTGCACTAGAAAGAAATTAATAATACCTATTTTGCAAATCTTTTCAAATGCAGGCAAAATATTGGCATTTTTGGTGTTTTCCAGTAACTTACCGATATAATATTTATTACATGCAGTTAAAGGATTCAGGTATTTTTACTGCATACCGTGTTTTACAGAAAAAAGATGACAACAGGCTGTCGATAATTTGCCTTACAAATATAAGGCAAAGGAACACTGTAGCATTTTCCTAAATAGTAGACCAGATCAGGGTGCCGTTGTATAAAGGGACCCTTGCACTAAGGTGATTGCAACTCCCATACCTTATCATAGACTTTGGGGCCGTTCATAATTTATGGCTTTGGCGGTCACTTACTTTGTAATTTTAGGGGTGGTCATTCATATTGTACATCAGCCATAAATTATGAACGGTCCCTTACAACAGTATAAGCGCTAGGGATGCTTTGTACAATGGCATCTAGGACGGCATTACAAGGGTTTACTCCCATAAAAAAAAGGGGGGGGGGGGCGGTCAGAATTAATAAAAACAGATATAACATATAGAATTACAAAAAATCCCATTAAGGAGTCATCCTCACAGACTGAACATGGTCTTCACACTGCACAATGATGTAGGTATACTGTCTATCAAAGGGTCACTATTGCATGTTCACCATCCCTGACAACACGCACATAACAGTACAGCGACACATGTGGACATGTCAAAGGTTGTGACAGATATCACAATACAAAGCAATGATCATATATTACGTGCTGGTGTCATACCAAATATAACTACGTATAAAATGTCAAAATGATACATGCGATATAAATGGATGAGGAATTTTTTAATAAATATTATTGCCGTGTGACGTGTCAGATCTGAATCCCGTGAATGTACGTGTTAGATACAATTTTGCACGTATCTCATACATCCGATTTCATTTTCATCATTATCGAACTTTAAACGGTACAACAAATCAATATTCAGTTTGGCAAAAGATAACCATGAAGGACATTTCCAATCACACCTGATCCGAGTAATAAGAAAGTTTCGAAAAAAAAAAGGGAAAGCAAAAAGTGAAAAAAGAAATTAATAGAAAGTTTGGTGTAATAAACTCCCACCATATTCATGCTCGAAAAAACAAACGAAACAGAAAATAATGAAAAAACAAATAACGAGAAATTTCGGTTTAGAAAAAAGCACAAATTTATGCTACCAAAGTGGTACTATGACGCTTCCGTATGTCACAATCTATTCTATGCCTTACCATAATGCCGGGCGACGGGATGTTCATTATCGATGGTGACAGTCCCGGGATACCTGCTTTCCCTGCCTCCCACGATCTGGTCCCAGTCCCTTGTTATTTCTATCCGAATGTCCGGTAGGTTTAGAAGAAAGAGAACCTTTCCATTTGTGATCTCTGTGAAGTATGACTTTATTTCAGCACAGTGAAGATCTGGGTTAGAATTGGTCTTCAGCAAGACATGCTTATCGTAAGAGGTGACAAACGGGGTCGGGTGGTCACGTAAGCTGACATGGTTGACACATGTCATCGTATCCCAATTGCGTTGGCCGATGTTCATGCTGTTGATCACTGGATTAAATGATCCAGTCTCGATAAGTTACAGATCCCCGCCGTATAGCTGGAATATTGCTGAGTGGGGCGTAAAACTAAACTTACTCACTCACTCACTCACCCTCTGCACAGTAAGTCATCATCATTACAGTGAGTGAGTGAGTATGGTTTCACGCCGCTTTTAGCAATATTCCAGAATGATAACGGCGGGGGACACCAGAAATGGGCTTCACACATTGTACCCATGTGGGAATCGAAACCGGGTCTTGAGCGTGACAAATGGACGCTTTAACCATTAGGCTACCCCTACCACTCCCCTGTCTTTACATGTTGGAGGCGAGTAACAGTTTGGTCATGAATCGATTATTTACTAATCGCCTTCACATAATTAGAATAATGCTGAGTGGAGCGTTAAAAAATAAATAAATAAGAGTTTACAAAATGTAGGCTTAATGTACTGCGAATACTTGTACACATAAAACACTCAAAAGCCAAACATGCCTGCCGTAAGAGCGAGTGAGTGAGTTTAGTTTTACGCCGCTTAAAATAATATTCCAGTAATACCATGACAGGGAACAGCAGAAATGGGCTTCTCACTTTGTACCCATGTGGGGAATCGAACTCGGATCTTCCGCCTGACGACCGAACGCTTTCAACATACGGCTACCCCACCGTTCCGCCTGCCATAAGAGGCGATGATGCTATTGAGTGCCCGCTGGTCAGGTTGGTTGATGCATGTCACCGTAACCCAGTTGCGTAAGTCGGTGTTCATGAGATCATTCACTGGATCGTGTTGCCCATACTCATCTACAAGCCGTCGTCTCATAGCTGGAATATTACTGAGTATGGCGTTAAACAGCAAATAATCAGTCTCCTAACGTATATGATGGTGGACATGTTTGACAGTAGTACATGTCATTGAACCCCCTGATTGGTCTCTCACGCAATCACATGATTACCAATTTCATTCGAACAGTATTTAGTGAATTTCTGTTTCTGTTTCTTTTTTATTTACAGGCTATTGTAAAACCGGAGGGGGCTAATATTCAATATCAGTGTCTTACTGTTAAATAGTAATTAAAATAAAAGGATGGAAGTTTCATGCTGGAATTGTGATCTTGTGAACATCTATGAAGCGACCTGACCCATCCTTGCCGTTGTCCAGCTGTAACAGTAAGCCCATCCCGTAACTATAAGCCCACCCCGTCATATGACACCTTCACTGACCCCTGGGGCGGTGGGGTAGTTCTGTAGTTAAAGCGTTCGCTCGTCACGCCTAAACCCCAGGTTCAAGTCTCCACATGTGTACAATGTGTGAAGCCCATTTCTGGTGTCCCCTGCTCTGATATTGCTGGAATATTTCTAAAAGCGACGTAAAGCCTATCTCACTCATTCATTGACCCGTACAACGCGACTGCGCCGCGATTACTGTGCGTCATATTTCGGTGTCATAGCGTAGGGCGGAACGTAGCTTGAACGTCACACCTTATCACTGTTTCAAGAACCCTTCAGGAAGCTTCGATTTACCTTTCAACCGGGGGAGGCGTACTGCCGTGAGGTTGGTGAGCAGCACAGCCATTCCATAGTGGTCGCCATGAAACGTAAACGTCGAGTTGCCCCTGATCACTTCTAGTCTGGGCAGGTTCAGTTCAATTTGTGGATCCGCAACCGCGACCAGTACGTAACCTCGGACGTAACGTATGTTACGCAGGAAGGTTAGATCGTAGGTGATGTTGTCGTCGGTAAGATACGTGACGATGAGGTTGCCGTCCACATAGGTACAGTTGGTGTATGTCTGTATCATATTTCTGTACCAAAAGCTCAGAGAGCCAGACCAAGACAGCTGCATGGATGATCGTCCGCCGGAACACACTGCAAGGAGTAGTATATTAATGAGTGAGTGTGCTTTCTGTAATAGTATAGGCAAAAGTTACTGTGATTGACTTGAAGTTATATATGTGAATTAACAACTGACGTGTGCGATAGGGGACAGATCTGGGGATTTAGCGGGCCAGGGAAGGACGTTAACATTAGGCTGCGCCAAAAACTGCTGAACCACCCTGGCGACATGAGGTCTGGAGTCGTCCTGCTGGAAGATCATTCCTGGACCATTCTGCTGGAGAAACGGTATGACAACTGGATTAACAATTTCGTCTCTGTACCTGAGGCCCGTTAGATTTCCATTGATGACAAGCAAAGGTGTACGTCCAACACTCGTTATCCCACCAAACAGCATCACTCCACCGCCGGAAAAGTGATCGGCCACAGTTCCTAACATAACGCTCACCACGTCGGCGGTAAACTCAGGTACGGCCATCAGCGCCGTGCATTGGGAATCTGGACTCGCCAGTGAAGAGAACATGTTTCCACTCACGTGCTCCACACCGCAGATATTGTCTGCACCACTGCAATCGATCATAGCCGTTGGTGACGTAATGTCATCTAGCAGGACATCTAGCTCGTATCCCGTGTGCAGCCAGACGCCGGCGAATGGTGCTTGGCGATTTCCTGTTGACACCGGGAACTTTTAGGGCTGTCAGTGTCGCTGGTTGGAATCACTGGCGCAGATGGGTGGTTCGAATCCATCGAACGTTGCGTGGTTACAGGTGGACGGTCACTTCGGGAACGTTCTACAACGGCGGCGTATTGTTGACAACGTCTCCAATGGCTCGCCATCTTTCATTTTCCGTTTGCCGTGGCATAGAGCAATGCAAGTAGATTCTTCCAAATTTGTGTTTTTCGGATCCGTCGAAGTTTAAACAATGATTTGTGTGGCGATTCGAAGTTTAGAGCCACACTTTTCAAAAGGCAATTTTTAATGCTTTTTTCCACAGACTTCTTGATAGCACGAGAAAAGCATGCAAAACAAAAACTACAGACAGGGTATTATAAAGTGTATTATAAAGAATATTAAAATCATTATTTTTTTTCATTTATGTAAACAAATGTGTTTATCACACTAACAATTGCCTTTGAGTATAATAATGATATTAAGGCCACTTAAACAGCTCTAAACTCAACGCCGCGTCCGACATGATGGGTATTATTACTCCCCGCATACAACATGGTGGGTATTATTACTCGCCGCATACAACATGGTGGACATTACCCATGTTGCCTCTGAGCCACAAGAACGTTAACAGTCAGATAACCATTTTCTGCTGGGTAAACAGAAGCAGAGTTTGATCAAACTCACTATCCTAGGGTGAGACCATATGTGTCATGCTTGCTTTGTTGCGGGGCAGGACAGAAGTGCTAGAAACTTTCCGAAGTTCAGCTGCCAAACACGGTCACCCATCGAATGACTCTCCGTCACAAATGTCGCTTAGCTTCAACTGATTTGAGACCTGATCTCTATGCACAAGGCCACTCATCCCTTTTAGCAATATTCCAGCATTATCACGGCGGGAGATTTCAGAAATGGGCTTACACATTGTACCCATATGGGGAATCGAACCCAGGTCTTCGGCGTGACGAGCGTACGCTTTGACCACAAGGCTACGGTGTTTGGCAGCTGAACTTTGGAAAGCACGCATGACACATGTGGTCTCACCCTTGGCAAGTGAGTTTACAAAATGCCTCTGTTCACCCAGCGAAACATCTGTGAAGTCCTTTTCTGGTGTCCCCCACCGTAATATTACTGGAGTATTGCTAAAAGCGGCGTAAAACAAAACTCACTAGAAGGTCATACCTGTATCATTCTCCGTGATGCCTGTGTCAGGGATGTCGTTCGATATCACCGCCACACCGTCAGCCGTCGTCGTAACCAACGCCAACACCACCAATGTAAGAAGCATCATGGTGAGGTACTCAACTCCGCGAACACTGCAATGACGAAGAATACGTGCACACTCTATATACGTATTATCGTCGCCGACAGCAACCTTTTTATTTACTGTAATAAAAAGTTCTAGTTTGCAATTATCTAATTAACTGATAGGAACATCCGGTCCGAAATACCAACATCCGGCCTTACATACATTAGAAAATAGTTTTACATGCTTTTAAAAGGTTAACTGATTATATTTTGATGTGAAACGTGTGGGCAATTCACAATGAGGTCATATGTAATTCGGTTATGAATATTTTATTGGCAAATGAAATATGTTTAGAAGGTGAAATGGTATGTTTTGGGAGTGGAAACAGACATACCGTCACCAGAATGTCACGGAGGTAATGACAGCTTGTTGCAGTGATACATACCTAAGGGGAGGAACCTTTGATTTTCATCATTCGGGGGCGTCACTGGGGGGCTTATCATGTGTTGCGTGACTTACATTGAAAACCCTACCTTCCCTAACCCCGTCACCTCATGAAATCCTTACATCCCATCGTACGGGCCTGGTAATCATGGGTCAGACTGCCTTGCTTGTAGGTGTGACAACACCACGGTTGTCCACATGTGTTTTTGCATAGGGTCTGTAAGTCTCGCGAGGCGCTACTTCCGGTACAAAGCTGGTTCCCGGCTCCCTTTGCGCGCTCCAACTTGCGATATCCGAGATGGGGTTCCAGGATACTTCCGGTACCAGATTTCCGGTGACAAATATATTTTCAAGAACCAGTCCTGGCTCCAAATTGCGCGACCGACTTTACTAGACCGGAACAAAAGTACTTTGTTAGTCACGAAGTGCTGTGACCTACTTACGGGCCCTATTGGGAGCTACCTGGAGTAACTATTTAATGTAGAGGAGAGGATATTTGTGTATGATAATTAAGCCCCTGCTTCACAGAAAACATAGGTGTGCTTCCGTTTGTTGCTGACACCTGTCCACAGAATATTTTCATCAGAAAGAAAGTATTTACTGAACACCTGGCCATGTTGGAAATGATGTTGAGTTCCTTAACATCAACACCCCCGAAAATTAACTGGTTGCTCCCTCACTGGTATAACGGATGCGAAAAAAATGTTGTGTCACAGTGTCTTACTACGGGTTCGAATCCCAGATGGGACTCATCCCAAAATTGTAATATAATCTGTACTTTACTGAGAGAGTGTAATCCATCTTAACTTTGAAGATCCAGGCTAGAATTGGTCTTCAGCAACTCCTGCTTGTCGTAAAATGCGACTAACGGGATCGTGTAATCAGGCTCGCTAACTTGGTTGACGCATGACATTGTCACCCATTTGCGTAAATCGATGCTCATGCTGCTGATCACTGGATTGTCTGGTAGACACTTGATTGCATACCGACCGCCAACGTATAGCTGGAATATTGCTGAATCGCTAAACAACAAGCACATCAACGTGACGTTAAACCAAACTCCCCTGGAGATGACGTGTTACAAAGGTTAAAAGAGTGATCAACTGGATGATGTTATTTCATTCGGCAATGGTCCGGCTATATCACGGCCAGCTAGTGGTGGATAGCATGAGGGATACGATGACACACTGGTGGTGGATGACATGAGGGATACGATGACACACTGGTGGTGGATAGCATGAGGGATACGATGACACACTGGTGGTGGATAGCATGAGGGATACGATGACACACTGGTGGTGGATAGCATGAGGGATACGATGACACACTGGTGGTGGATAGCATGATGGATACGATGACACACTGGTGGTGGATAGCATGAGGGATACGATGACACACTGGTGGTGGATAGCATGAGGGATACGATGACACACTGGTGGTGGATAGCATGAGGGATACGATGACACACTGGTGACCAAAAATACATTGAATAATCACCACATGTACATGATCGCTAAACAAAACAACAAACAAACAACGAACAAACATCGAACAAACAAACACACACCACTACACCTACCACACGGTATACAGCAGTGAAGTAAATGTCATTTGTCCTTTGATCTGTTATGTTAAAAGATCTACCACATTATCAGACAGTAAGACCTACCTGTACCAACACCCAGAGATGAGTGAGACAATGACGAGCACAAATCTACTTATGTGTCAAGGCAGGACATGCATGGTCACGTGGGATCTTGACTGGTTTAATGAAATCTGGGGGTGGATATGCGTGCCGTGTGTTCTATTATGCACATTCATGACTCGTGCACATGTACGTGATTTGGTCACAGCCAGGTCAATATAATATAACAGTCCCAGTTGCCTAATGGTTGGAACAAATGGCAAAAGTTGGTCAAGTAATGCTTATTAAGTCTATTGCACTCATGAATGTTTCATTGAACTATAACATTGCCCTTAAAACATTAACTGATAGTTTTATGAAATGTTAAGGCTTCTCTTAGTGTTTTCATTTACGTTTTCAATTTGTTTTGACACTTTATTGTCTGGTTGGAACAAATTATAATAGTTGGTCAAGTACTGCTAATTTAAATCTGTGTTTCCTTGAACTATAACGTTACACTTAAAACACTAACCGATAGTTTTATGAAATGTTTCTCTAAGTGTTTTCATTTACGTTTTCAATTTGTAGTGACATTTTTTTGTCTAGCTTCCGCACGATTGTTTACACAAGGCTAGTGTACTGGATAAGGAAACTGTGCACATAGAAAATCAAGATATATATTGGAACGAGATGTATAAACAAATTCAGATGTAAATGATTAGCTTGGTTAGTTGTTTGTCGCACTCAGCAATATTCCAGCTATATGCCGGAAAATGATTAGTGAATTGATTTGCTCGTAGACTCCGTTCATCTGATCAACTCCAGCTCTGTGTACCCTTCACGGGTACAAAGTTAGCTTGCCAGGCTTTTTCTGTTGTGGCCTCCCAACATCTCTCAAATCTGCAGACTCTGTCCAGTCATTCCGCCGTGACTTGAAAACCTATCTCTTCAACCAATAACTCTGTTTATTTTATTTTTATTTTTAACTTTGTGAAGCACCACTGAGCAGCCACCGGTTGGAAATTAAGTGCTATACAAGTGCATTATTATTATATTTATGTGCCACGCTGGGTGACGTCAGAGGTTTGGTCATGGGCACGTGCAACACCTTTCTGCACGAGCATCTCAGTAAACTGGTGGAGCACACAACTGTTAAAAACTGCACCTCAGAGAGCCCGTTTAGTTCAGGGCAAGTTGACAGGTGTGGCCTAGAGAAATCAGATTCTTCAACGTCATGGCCCAGGATGGACATTCCAACAGCAGACAGGGCTTGGGTTGATATAGCTTTCATCAACAGCATGATGTTAAACTTCTGCAATGGCCTGCAAATTCACCGGTTTTCACCCCTACAGAGCATGTGCGGGATGAAATGGAGAGACGTCTACGCCGTGTAACCAAATATGCCAGATAACGTTCCTGATTTGGCAGCCGAGTTGCAGAGAAGATGGCAAACCATTCCACAAGCCTTCCATGCCCATTTGACAGACGCAACGCATTGTCGCTGCTCACAGTGGGCAGACTCGGTATTGATTCTGTGGCATTCGTAACGTCAATGTCATTGCCATTATACATGCTGTTCTGCGGTCTTCTTATGTTTTTCTCACTGTGTTTATATTTTCACACTTAGAATTTTTTAACAATGCACAGAGTCTTTATGCGGCTGTTATAACTTGAACATTGCCGAGTGGAGCGTTTATCAACAAACAAACAAACAAACAAACACTGGTTTGGTATCATCACTGATATTCAGTGGCCCATTGACATAGTTTTACAGCTATTTGCCCTTTACACCAGTGGAATCAGTTACAGAGGATAGTCAAGGCTGGGTATTGTTTTGCACAATTCACAATGCTCAACAATATACGTGGCTTCATTATGTACCGCCCACGATGATGACGCTTGACCACTGTTGTCTGTGTCGTCACACATTAATCCCTCACTCACTTCACGTATATACGAATAAAGTAATTCTTTTTGTGCCAAAAAGAAACTTTTGTTCACTAGTTATTTTACTTCGCAGTTGTCCCAATTGTCACATGTACATCACGGCGGCCTTTAAATATCGAATCAGGACAAGACAAACTGTTTATATAGGACATATCAACTCCGACTAAAGGCGTAACTAAACATTTAAAGCAGCGAAGCCTGGCTAATTTCGACACAGTCACACCGGAAACTCAGCCTTCCGGATGATATTTTAAGGCTTGTTTGTTTGGTATCTTTCTTCTTTCAAATTTATTCACCACCCACTTACAAGTGTGCACTTGTGCCTATACATATAAATACACGTATATGCATATACGCTTATGTGTGCGTGTACATAGATATTTACACACACACACACACACACACACACACACACACACACACACACACACACACACACACACACACACACACACACCTTCACATATGTACAAGAGTACAAGATACAGAGTACATAGTTTGCTGCTAACAACATAAGTATAGGTTGGAATACCTCCCCCACCCCGTACACACACCCAAAAAGACAAACGAAACAAAAACAAATAACATAAAATAAAATGCAAAACGTTGCAATAACAAATTTTTAAAATACAGATGAAATTATAAAAATAATTTTGATATTTGGCCCTTAGTCATTAGTTTCAGCCATATGGTCAATTTTCTCCGTAGTTTTTTTAACATAGTAATATTGACTAAATAAATGACCAGTTGTTTCTGGCTCGTGGTCACAGAATGTACATAGACGTGAATTCTTATAGCCGGTTTTACACAAAAATACATTTGTAGGACACATTTTATACAATATTTTTGTTTGTTACCATTGCAGATTGCTACACTTTGTGCATCTATGATTTTCCATTTACCGTTATCTTCAGTTAGTCTTCTAACCTAAGTGAATGTTTGTGAAATGATTGAATCATTAAGTAGTGGCACACTTATTCCACCATACTTGGGTGGCATATACACTACCTCCCACATTTTGTTTGGTTTACCC